AGTGTTTTCTTTGTATGCTGCATAGAGGGAGGAAATGCAGTTTGCCGTTCAGGTGTTTAGATAGCGCCAATGACCTGGATGAATGGCAAATAGTAGAGCTGAGTAATAGGTTAAAATTGCTTGTGTCTGTGATTACATCACTGTCTAGAATGCAAGGAACTCTGTGAAACTGTTTTGTAGACCCATAGGGCTTCAAATTTCAAGTATCAGCTCTAACTCCACCCATCACACATGGCATTCTCCTGAACTTCAAAGTGGTGTTTGGTATGGCATGGGATCAGCAGTGGTAGGAAAACTGCATTCCAAACACATTTAAAGACCTGATATTAACCTTTAAAATCCTTAAATGGCTTAGGCCTAGATTGTTTGACTGACTGCCTTGTGAAACTGCCCAATTACTAATTTCCAGGGACCTTGCACTTTGTGGATTTTTGTGGGAGGCGGGGAGGGGGTAATGAATCTTGTGTCAGTGGGTTCCTGTGAGTGGAGACTTCTTCATAGTGACACTAGTCAGTCATGGCTTTCTTTCTCCAGGGAGTCCAGCAGTCCCTTCTCTTCCTGATTTTTGTACAGTTGATGAAAGCTTCCTAACCAAGAAGCTTCTTAACCAAGAATGACATTTTATAATGTCAGAAAAACGTGTTAAACACACAGGATACTAATAACTTGAAAGTAAATGTGTCAGGAATGTTAGTATATTCTTTGTATGTGTTGAAATAGCTCTGAGGCTTCAGTATCTGAAAACACACTTCAGGTTAAAACACATGATGGGCCAGTTGTAGATAGAATACTTGCTTGTGGAAATGTTTCATGTATGCTTCATTGCATTCTCTCTCTCATATACAATAATTCAACCTATTTGCAGATATAATGTACAACATTTCCAGGCCACAGAGACCTGGCAGGCTGACTATACATAAAAATGTGCAGGAGGACCATACCATGTATCATCTAAAAGCCCATATAGAGACAAACATATTACCTGTGGCTGCTGTCATTGAATGGTACTAGTTTCTTCCTAATAAGTTGACTGAATTTTTTGAACTTCACAAGATAACTTTGTGTCACGGAAACCTTCTAAGCTATTTTGGTTATATTTGAAGTGAACATCACAAACCATTTTCAATACAAACCTTCAGGGACATTTCAGAATGAGGATATTAAAATTAGTGCCAAAGAAAATTGTATTTTTGAAAGGCATGTTACTCCATACATAATAAGATTTACAGTATTGCTGAATTGTGGATTTAGTTTACTTGATGCTAGTGAAATAACTCTCACTGGATCTTGACTGAATGGAGCAGCCAGTCCCTTTAATCTCAAACAATTTCCTGATTTTTTGGGTGAGGGGAGGGTGCACTTTGTACATTATTGCCCCCCCCCCCCAAAGTCTTAACTGTGTATGTATGACTGTTTGTAGTCTAATTAAAGTTAAAATTTTTACTGGCCCATATTATACACATTTCTCAATGGTGCTATTCCTGAACTCAATCGGCATGATATGACATGTTATTTACTGTAGCTTTGATGACTTCTGCTTCTAATTCACCAGATACTGTGCTGGGCAACAAGATGAAGTGCTTGCAAACAGGATACTGGTTTATGTGTACTTGCTGTAAGAGTGGTGCCCTCTAAACACACAGAAACAAATGAAAGGAAAAACTAATGGGTACTAACCATAGCTAGTCCCCTTTAGGAGGCACGGAACACTGAGAGAATTAAGAGGAAAATGGGAATTTAACATGTCTTTTAAAGAGCTATAATAGTAATCTTGATTTTTTTTTCTCAGAATGGAATATACAAAACAAAACAAAAACCCTTCACACATTTTCCCTGAATAGTGGGCCATAGAAAGGATGAGACTGGGATATGTGCCAGGAGGTTCATGTCACTGCTTAAAAATAATTATTGCCCCCCCCCCCTTTCAAAAAACATAAATTGGGAAAGGAGATAGGGACCACTGTGCCTGGATGTTAAATTTTGGGGTTGGAGATAGCTGAGCAATTTAGGTAATATGAGATTTTCATCTTGCCTTTCTGATACGGACATAAAATGTTCCAGCAGCTTTTCTGTTTGCTTAATTCCAGATCTTAGCCCCATTATAAGGCAATTGCATTGCAGGACTGTACTCCTGAGCTACAACTATATTGAGCAAGAGGCTCCAGTGTTTAGTAAATGTCACACTGCAATTGTGGGTTTCACTTTTGCTATTTGGATTATTCACGGAACTAATTCATATGCTCCCTCTAGGTCATCCAGAATTACTCTTTGGTCAATTTCCAGATAGACTACTTGAGGCATTTGTAGGGCCTTTAAGCAGATACTGAACATAGAATTATGCTGGAGGACCTAAAGAGATGTTTTCTCAGTTTAGAAAAAACATGTCTTGGACACCATAAAAAAGAACATATTTAATATGGGAGAATGTTGGGAGAGAAATGGAAATTGAAACTAATTAGGGACACTGGTGAACATTTTACTTAGTAAAGAATGCTTACTGCTCTGCTCTGTACATATGCAATAAAGACGTAGTTGTGTTTATATGGTTAAAATACAGCCTGTGCTATCTGTATCCCAAATGTGTAATATTAGTTTTCCATGTGTGGAATATAGGAGGACATAGTAAGCTAAAAATGGCATTTAAGAAAATTTTGTTTGATTGATTTTATTATTTGAGCACAAAGTATACACTTAAATATTATTATGCAGAAACAAGACAACTAACCAGCCAAAGCAGCTTAAACTCCATGGCTTTAATGTGAAGTTCTATTTCCTTAACTTTTGTTTCTTTAACGTGGTCGCTGTTTGGGCATATTATTGCAATACTGTCTCCCATGTTGTTTAACATCTACATGAAGCCGCTGGGCGAGATCATCCGGAGTTTCGGAGTGCGATGTCATCTGTACGCAGATGATGTCCAACTCTGTCACTCCTTCCCACCCGCTACTAAGGAGGCTGTCGAGGTCCTGAACCGGTGCTTGGCCGCTGTGACGGTCTGGATGGGGGCGAACAAATTGAAATTGAATCCAGACAAGACAGAGGTACTCCTGGTTAGTCGTAAGGCCGAACAGGGTATAGGGTTACAGCCTGTGTTAGACGGGGTCGCACTCCCCCTGAAGACGCAGGTTCGCAGTTTGGGTGTGATCCTGGATTCATCGCTGAGCCTGGATTCCCAGGTTTCGGCGGTGACCAGGGGAGCATTCGCACAGTTAAAACTTGTGCGCCAACTGCGACCGTACCTTGGGAAGTCTGACTTGGCCACGGTAGTCCACGCTCTGGTTACATCCCGCCTTGATTACTGCAACGCTCTCTACGTGGGGTTGCCTTTGAAGACAGCCCGGAAGCTCCAACTAGTCCAACGGGCGGCAGCCATGGTACTAACAGGAGCGGGGCGCAGGGAGCACACAACTCCTCTGCTGCACCAGCTCCACTGGCTGCCGATATGCTACCGGGCTCAATTCAAAGTGCTGGCGTTGGCCTTTAAAGCCCTAAACGGTTCTGGCCCAACTTATCTATCCGAACGTATCTCAGCCTATCAGCCCACCAGGACCCTAAGGTCTTCTGGAGAGTCCCTGCTCTCTATCCCGCCGGCTTCACAAGTGCGGCTGGCGGGAACGAGAGACAGGGCTTTTTCTGTGGTGGCCCCTCGGCTTTGGAACACCCTCCCTATAGAGGTACGATCAGCCCCCTCGCTGATGGTGTTTCGGAAGAGATTAAAAACATGGATGTTTAAACAAGCATTCGGTTAATCCGTCGCAACGAATTTTGATGACCAAAGGATTGGCAATCACGGACGACGAATTTTGGATTGTGATTTAACTATGAGATGCATGGGATTATTATTGGTGGCCCAATAATTTGTATTGTGTACGTGTTTTTTGTTTTTAAATTGAATACTGTTTTTAACTGTTGTAAACCGCAATGAGTCGCCGACTTAGGCTGAGATATTAGCGGTATACAAGTGTATAAATAAATAAATAAATAAAATATTATGAAATATTTGCTTATTTATACCTACAATACAGCAAATAGTAGTTTTTCAAGATACCAAATTGCTTTTTGGTGTGTATATGAAGCAGGGATGGCAAAATTGTGCCCACTAGCTTGTGTTAGATTTCAATACTAGTTAGACTCCGCAACCATGGATAATAGGAGAAGTCTGGGAGTTGCATTTCAACAGTATTTGGATGCCTGCACTTTTCCCTTTCCTGACTGACATAGTGGGGAAAGTGGCCAATCACGTTTAGAGAGAAAGCATGCTAGATTCCATATTTAACATGGAAAGTTGTTTAATTCTTGTAAAATTAATACAATAGAAAATGCATACTCAAGAAAGTTGTGAGATAACATAGCTTTTATTATGGTGTGATCTAAAAAGGTTTGTATGAATGAGAGTTCTCACATGACAACTACTGTAGTTCTTCAATTGTAAAATGCCATCGATAGTAAGACACCCTGATTTCAGTACCATCACTGTCAACAAAAATACATGATATACCTACTATTTTAAGATGCACCCAATTTTTAAAGATGTTTATATAGGAAAAAGATGTCTTAGAATTGAAGAAATGCAGTACATCTTTAGTTTACTTTTGTCACAATCAGTTCAAATTAGACTTGTATATTCCATCTAGTTACAAAATAGTTGGCACTACTTTCTTAGTGCTAAGTATCATTAAGTATTTTAACTGTATTTTAACCAAATCCACACTGTTATTTTTTTTTATTTTTGTATTTGCTTTATTTTAATCGTGACCAAAGTGTATGATTGTTAGCTGCCTTGAGTCCCCACAGGGAGAAAGGTGGGTATAAATAAATTAAATAAATAAACAATATCCTAGCTGCATTTTTTCCTTCTGTGAGAAAGTTAGGAAGGAGTTGCTTTGGATGAAGGGTATTTTCTTATTAACATCTTTTGTATACATATTGCAAACATTTGGGCAACTAATTATTCGCAGCATCATATTCACAAGATTGCATGTTACACATTTCTGTTTCAGTGGACAGGCCAAAAGCCCAGCAAATTAGAACTTCTAGCACTATAAGACGCACCTCTTCGTTGGACACAATAACAGGACCTTACCTCACAGGACAGTGGCCACGAGATCCCAACATACACTATCCTTCTTGCATGAGAGATAAATCTACACAGGTAGGTGTAATACATTAATTATTAATGGTTAATTGTTAACTTTCTCAATTTAAGTTATTGGTGTGAATATAATCTTCCCAGTCTGCCTTTTCTATCCCTTTCTTTTCCCATAGCTCTTTCCTATGACACAACCAATCACACTAGGGTCCTAAGTTGGTTTCTCCAGGAAGAAATCCATTTTAGTTATTAGAAATCACCTTCTCCATTCATCATTGTGAGTTACTTCTTTTGGCCTTGGAGTAAATTTCTTCTTCAGTATTTTTGGTGGAGTAGGAATAGGCACCCACTTGACAATCAGTTCGGCTCTCAAAAGAATGAGAATGTAGTATACCGAAAATAACATTTCTTGATGTATCTAAAAGGATTTGCTTTTAGTGATCTTCAGTAAAAAGCCCTAAGGTTCTGAATAGTAGCAATAAAAGCAAGGTGGTTATTTGTGCTCTGCTATAGCAGAGCATTTGTTCCATTCAGATCATGAAACACTGGTGTACTTCGAGATGCAAAATGCCATCTGCATAATCCCTGTGAGGTATTGAGCCTTTGGAAACAATGTTAAGATTTGTGTTATACCCATAAAGCCTTTTGCTCAGTGAAGAACAATTTCTTGTATTTATGTAAATAATTTATAAAAGCTGAAACATGCATAGGTCAGAGTTAGATGTACAAGGAACATCTATAATTTAATTTTTAGATTATTCCTTTTCTAATAGCATGACATCTCATGGTCTTAAAAGCACACTCTTCAAAGGCAAAATTATAATATTGACCAAAAGCAGTTTTCACTAATATACTAAGCTTCCATCTCATACATTCTTTGCCCTTTGTTCCATTTTTTTCTCTTCAATGAAGGGTTTAGGAAGGGAGCAGTTTTCTGTGGTAGAACATTATTTTTTATTCAGATGGATCTGGGTTTGTTCTTTGACATTTCTATTTAGAATAATTGTATAGCAGCTAATGGTGAGGGAATGCCACCAGAGGTCCTAAATATCTTCTGCCAGTCAGTATAGACAATAGTAAAGTAAAGCCACATTTCTGTGAGTGAGAGACCACCTACTGTAAATAATACTGATGTTTGATGATGTAGAAATTCTTCATTTTTTATTTTATCTCATTTATAGCTCATCTTTCTATCCATGTAGGATTCAAGATGCATTAAAGTATAGATCATATTTTATCTTCTTTATAGTCCATCTTTCAATCCATGTAGGAGCCATTAAAGCATAGATTAGAGCAGGGGTCCTCAAACTAAGGCCCGGGGGCCGGATGCGGCCCTCCAAGGTCATTTACCCGGCCCTCGTTCAGGGTCAGCCTAAGTCTGAAATGACTTGAAAGCACACAACAACGACAACAATACTATCTCATGAACCAAAAGCAAGCCCACACTTCCCATTGAGATACTAATAAGTTTATATTTGTTAAAATTGTTCTTCATTTTAATTATTGTATTGTTTTTAAGTGATTTTTGCACTACAAATAAGATATGTGGTATGCATAGGAATTCATTCATATATTTTTTAATTATAATCCGGCCCTCCAACAGTTTGAGGAACTGTGACCCGGCCCTCTGTTTAAAAAGTTTGTGGACCCCTGGATTAGAGGCTAAGATTAAAGAAGCTACAATACAAAGTAATGCACAAGATCCTTCTGCCAGAAACAAAGATTTTGACTTTCTACAGAAAGAGAACAAAGTGGATTAGTTTGGACCTTCAGTGCTAGGGAGGTCTCCCAGAAGTCACTTCCCTGTGTTTTCAACAAATAAGCCTGTAACAGTGCTGGAACTGATAGAAAGGCCTCTCTTGAAAGTCTTAAAATAGGAGAAGGTTTATCTGCAGAACTGGAGTCTTCCATAACTTGTAGAAGGTCTAATTAATGTGGATACATTTTGCCTTCTTAAATAAAAAGTTGCCTGCTCAGTGATTAAACTTCAAGTCACTGGTTACATGATTATTGGGAATCACTGTAGCAGTAAAATAGTTTAAAGGAGCCCAAATTAACACTCTGTTCAAAATGATGTTACAACTTAAAATATTTTGTTTTCCAAAGAGATGAAGATAATTTTGTTAAATAATTTATCTTGGATTCCACCTCTGTTTCAGCATCATTTATTCAGCAGTATGTTGTTTTGAAAACAAATATTATGGTTTACATAATTCAGAGACTGATTGACCAGATAACATCCTGCAACCAAGATGTCTGTGATACAGACACTGGAAGATAACATTAAACACATTTTAATTCTAGGATGTAGTTTAAACAATTGTTTGTGGCATCAATTATAAGTAAAAGAATAAGTTGTTTTTGAAATTTGTGTTCTGGTCTTTGAAAAGTCTGTCAGAATAAATATGTTAATATCTTGGGTGCCATGAAACACCAAAAAAATCTACACTTAAGAAAGCATTCATTCATCATTCACCATTATCATAAAGTGCCTAAATTTTAAGACAACTTAGTATTGTATCCTCTCCTTTTTACCAATATAGTGAGTTGATACAGATTGAGTATCCTTCTTCTGCAATTCCAAAATCTGAAACTTTAGGAACTATGACCCATACATACTTGTACTGTATTTGAGAGGCTAGACAAAGACACGGCTGGAATGACTTACGAGGATCTGTGATCTTTGCCAGTTCATAGATCCTTGTATCTCTCTTCAGCTGAACAAATGAGCAAGATCATTACAGCCACCAGAAGTTGGAAAAAGGTAGCTGGCAGCCTTCCCCTCCCAGAATTAACTACAATTATTGGGTTCCCATCCATAGAAGACTTGGGATCTAAGATCCAGTAGTGGAAGCAGGGAGGAAAAGATAGGCGGCTGTTTTCTTATATGGGGCTCTTTTGTGGAACGACCACTAGTAGCTGCAGCTATCGTATCCCATTCTGAACCTTACTTCAGCTGGTGGGTGGCAGCGGAGGAGAAGCAGCCATTTTGGCCTTTGGATGTACAAAGCTTTGCTATGAACTCAGTTGTACTATTTCTTCCCCCCTCCTCTCTTCTCCCTGGAGGTGGGAGAGCAGAAGAAAGCTCCTTAAGATGGCTTACTGCCATCTCTACTGCTTCCCTGTGCCATGGTATATGCCAGTACCTGTACTTTATTCCAAATTCTCCCCCTCTGCTCCCAAGTTTTTCGCATAAGGGATATCAAATCTGTGGTAATGTTTTACTTACGGTACATTATGAGCTGTAAAATAACTCCCTTCTAAAATGGTGAAAATGGCTAAGTTCTAATTGAATTATTCAGGGGTAATAATGATATACAATTGAACAACTCATCAACAGCAGAGTAATTTTGTGTATCTACATACAGGCAACTATAAGAGAACTCCATCCCTGAAGTATGCAGCTACTTTACAGTGGTAACTTTTGTGCACTTGCACATACTCTATATACTAACTTATAAGTAAAGAAATTTTAGTTAAAAAAACAACCCCCAAAATGCAGATTGATTTTTCCACAAATTGGTATGAGCATTGTATCTTAATTCTTATTTTTAAAAATGAACCATCTCCTTTTCTGAGTAGTGTGTAGAGTTTAAGTCTTTCTGGGAGAACCTAAAAGGAGCACCAGTCTCCTCTACTTTCTCAGCCTTAGCACTGTTTCTGGACTTTCTGAGTGCCTAAGTGGAGAAATAGCAGTGGTGGCCATGAGGTGGCATTAATTCTTTCATCTCTTGGCAGAATGACCCATGACCTTTCCATGAGTCATATCAAATTCCGTAATGTTGGTCCCCAAATCCGCCTTTGACGTCCACTTATAGATGATATATATGGTAGTTTTGTAACAAATATCTTTAGTACCATAAAGAATCAGAAAACCACAGTAAGCACTCATGCAATATTGTGCAATATATAGTGTAGCCTAAAGAACCACATTTCTGTTCATACTTGTGTTAAATGTGTATAATTGGTATAATAATAATAATAATAATAATAATAATAATAATAATAATAGAAATGCTCTTTCCCTTCACTACTGGGGTAGTTTTCTCCTTTTATTCTTCTCATAGATGTGAGAAAAAAGTAACCTATTATTATTCATTTTTCAGCTTGACTTTTCAAAAGCGAGGGAATGTTTCAGATGGTAAAAGATACTGAAAAGTGTTTGAATATTAGTGCAGTGAAATCTTAATTTTTGACCATAAAATGAATTGATGCGGGGTTGCTGTGAGTTTTCTGGGCTGTATGGCCATGTTTCAGAGGCATTCTCTCCTGATGTTTTGATTGTATCTATGACAAGCATTCTCAGGGGTTGTGAGGTCTATTGGAAAGTAGGCAAGTGAATTTTATATATTTATAGAATGCCCAAGGTGGGAGAAAGAACTCTTGTCTGCTTGAGGCAAGTGTGAATGTTGCAGTTGGTCATTTAATTAACATTTAAGTTGATTAGCATTTAATGGCCTTGCAGCTTCAAATCCTGGCTGGCTGCTGGCTGGGATCCTTTGTTAGGAGGTGTTAGGTGGCCCGTATTGATTATTGTCTGTAATTACCCATTTTTTTTTAGTGTTGCCCTTGATTTACTGTCCTGATTTTTAGAGTTTTTTTTAATACTGGTAGTCAGATTTTGTTCATTTTCATGATTTCCTTCTTTTTATTGAAATTGTTCACATGCTGTGGATTTCAGTGGCTTTTCTCTGTAGTCTGACATGGTCGTTGTTAGAGTGGGTTGTTGTAGGTTTTTTCAGGCTGTATGACCATGGTCTAGAGGCATTCTCTCCTGATGTTTCGCCTGCATCTATGGCAAGCATCCTCAGAGGTAGGAACTAGGAAAAAGGGTTTATATATCTGTGGAATGACCAGGGTGAGACAAAGGACCCTTGTCTGCTGGAGCTAGGTGTGAATGTTTCAACTGACCACCTTGATTAGCATACAATGGACTGACTGTATCTGGAGCAAACTTTTGTTGAGTTGTTAGAGTGGTCCAACATTTGTGTTTTCGGATAATATACCATGTCCAGGTTGGTTTATCAGGTGCTCTGCTATGGCTGATTTCAGGTTGAAGTAAT